GAAGATCAAGCTAGGGCACTTGGAGACTCTTGTTCGTCGCTTTCTCTCTCTAGGAATCGCTCTGTCTATCTAAAACTCGAATCCCCTTCTGTTTTGGCTGAAATATGCTTAAAAGGGCATCAGTGGCCAAAGCACGGTCGAGGGCACGGCCGTGTAATGCCTCAGCCCGCCCGTGCTTTGGCTAGGGTTAATTACACGGCCAGTGCATTGGGAGAAACACGGGCGTGTTTGATGGTGGACACGGCCGTGCTTTGGTGGCCACGGTCGTGCTTTGTCTAAGCCCTGCCCGTGTTTTTAGCCAATGTTTGCCAAACTCGAATTTGCTCTCGGCTTTAGGTGTGCCCGTGTTTTGGCCCCAGCTCGACGAAATGACTTCCGAATGCCCCGAAACTCGTGCTTAGCCTTTCCTTTGATGCCTGGGACCTGAAATATGACAAAATAGCACAACCTGGCGTAAAATAGGCCAAAAATACACGACTATGCCCCTCAAACGGATAAGAACAAGGGGCGCAAATATGTGCAAATACATCGTTATCAAACTCCCCCACACTTAACCGTTTGCTTGTCCCCAAGCAAACCTAACTCAAACCAATGCAACTCTCTAGACCTCTATAGCAACAAACAACCCAGATCGTAGGTAGAAGACTTCCTAAATCATTTAGCAGCTTACGAGGTCAACCGACGCACAAGTTATCTCATAGCTTCTTCGGCGAGAGCACTAGTATCGAGTCGGCATCATGGCAGATAGTGAACAGAGGACAAATGAATCGTGGATGAAGAGATTCTCAAAAACAAAGGATCATGGACTCACATTTTTCAAGGTGCTCTATTTTCTTCTTGAAGATGGTTGGGACCCCTTTTCTTTCTGTTTTGCTTGATTTCTGTTTTTTTTTTCTTTTTTTTCTTTCAAGGGTCCCAACCTGCTCTTACCGGCCATGCCAGGAGCGGATGTCTCAAGCCTCGTGCGGGGGAAAGACATGTAAGGGGGCTGGAGGTAGTAGGTGGAAATTGGGAACGAATTCTCGTCTCCCCTTACACACTTTCGCGCTATTCGCACGGGAGACGTTATTCTAAAGCACATTTTCGAGCACCTGTTATTTTCAAAACATGATACAAGAGTCCATGACAGGTAGAGAGTCCACAACACCACACAATTCAAGGGTCCTAAGATCACTAATTCACTCAATCAACCAACACAATATGAAGAAGAAATGAGACTTCTTAAATGCATCAACATCCTCCATAGTGCTACACTACCTCCCTAGGTCGCATATTACTATAAAGACTGTCAATTCAAAGCATACTGAGCAGGCAATTGCACGGAAACACTTACTTGGAGCCCTCAAATTTAAAAATTTGGACAGTGGACTAGGCTCCAAGCACACAAACAGATCTAATGCAGTCAAAAGATAAACATCCCCCCACACTTAAGATCGACATTGCCCTCAATGGAGAAGAGGGAACGATGGGAAGGGGAACGATGTTACCGGTATGCACGGACTGCAGGAGACTGGAAGCGGACCAGTCGAGTGAAGCGGACTGGAGAGGGACCAGTCTGGAACAAAGCACAGCTAAAGGGGAACAGAAGAGCTCAAACACAATATGTTAGGTCCAATGTCAGCCCAATAAGACATCTTCCAAAACAAAAGAAAACAAACCAAACTGGTTTACAATCCGACTCAAAACACAAGAAAGAAAGTCAAACCGTGGTGGGGTTGCCTCCCCACAAGCGCTTCTTTACCGTCTTTTAGCTGGACGCCCATGGTGGATACTCAGGAAGGTGAAGGAACAGGTGCCTCCAAGAGCGGATCCACGTCGCTCTTGAGGTACAGCTTCAGGTTGTGGCCATGCACCCGACGGATGCGACCACCACCATCACCTGGCCATCCGGTAAGATGCATGCGAGTGAGTACCCGGACGGCCAGGGTGGTCGTGGTGCAAGAGGTGGGACCAGCTCATAGTGGTCTCCACCCTTCTTCCGTGCAGGTTTAGCAACCTGCTGCTTCCGCCGCCACTCCTCCTTGATCTTTTTGTTCGGAGGCGAGACTGGATGGAGTGGTGGCGAAGGAATGATAGGAGGGTCCTGCAAAATAAGAGGTGCAGAAGGATACACGACAGGCTCGTGTACCTGATCAGAAATGGCAGGCACAGGTGTGACAGGAATCATAGCACAGTGAGCAAATTCAGTCACAGAAAAAGTAGCATGTTCATTCCTAGCACGCAAGATCAGTTTACCATCATGCACATCAATAAGTGCCTTGGCGGTGGCAAGAAATGGTCTACCCAGAATCGAAGGCACATACACATCCTCATGTATATCAAGAATAACAAAATCAACAGGATATGTGAATGCACCTACTTTAACAAGCAGATCCTCTATGATCCCCCTAGGATGCACAATGGAACGATCAGCTAGCTGAATGCTCATCCTAGTAGGGCTAAGTTCACCTAGATCTAGCTTTTTATACAGCTTATATGGCATGAAATTTATGCTAGCGCCTAGGTCCGCCAAGGACTTGCCTACATGCATGCTGCCAATAGTAAGAGGGATAGTAAAACTCCCTGGATCCTTGCGCTTTTCGGGCAGCTTGTTCTGCAGGATAGCAGAACACTCCTCGCTCAGCAACACTGTCGAGAGATCCCCAAGTTTCTTCTTGTTGGTGAGGAGGTCTTTCATGAACTTGGCATACTTGGGCATCTTCGACAGTGCCTCCACGAACGGTATGCTGATGTTGAGCTGCTTCAACATTGCCATAAACTTGGCAAACTCAGTCTCCAACTTGTCTTTGTGTAGGCGAGTGGGGAAGGAAAGCTGGGGTACATGCTCCTTAACCACTGGTTGTGGCTTGGGAGCAGGGGCTTCCTTCTCCACCCGCACTTCTGCATCGTCGGCTGGAAGTGTTGAAGCAGGTAGTGGTTCCTCCTGTCTGGCCGGGACAGGATCAGCAGATATGGTCTTACCGCTCCTGGTAAAAATGGCATCCAGCTGCTGGAGCTGGTGAGGATCCCGAGGATTCGGGATAGTGGTGGCAGGCAGAGTCCCCGGTGCCCTGGTAGTGTTTTGGCGGGCCAAGATGCCCACCTGGGTCTGCAGATCTTACAAAATGGCACCCTGGTTCCGCTGACCTGCCTCCAGTGACATGATAGCAGCCTGAGTGCTAGTCATGAATGAAGCTAGAATATTTTCCAGCTTTGTCATCTGGTCATCTGGGGCAGGGGCTGCTGCTGGCTCGACAAACTGACGTTGGGGCTGTTGGAATGGTTGCCCCTGCCTAGGCTGGTAGGGCTGCTGCTGTGGGGCTGGCCCCTGTCGAGCCTGGAAGGGCTGCCTCTGCTGAAAGCCACCAGCTGGTGCTGGGAAACCAGGTGGCTTAGTGGTGTTGCTGCCCCAAGAGAAGTTGGGATGCTGGCGCCACCCCTCATTATATGTGTTGCTGTACGGGTCGAGGCGCCGAGCATTGGCGATGAAGTCCAACTGCTCTTGGGGAGTAGTAGACTCCCTCATAGCCTGGCAGTCTTCCACTAAGGGATTCGAGCTCTCACACCACCGACATTGAGCAACTGGCGGTGTAGCCAAACCTCTGCCCGGAATAAGACTGTTGGGCTGCTTCAATGTCTGCACTAGCTCAGCTACATGCTGCTCGAGCCCGGATCACTGCTGCTCTGTCCCCAGGAATGATCTCTGGCAGCCAAAGTATAAATCATCTGGTTCAGTTCTGGTGGAGTCTTAGTAAGAACATCCCCTCCTGGGCATAGAGACTCAATCACCCTCTGGCTGTCTAGAGAGAGCACTGTAGAAGTTCCCCACTGTGAATGCATCACTAAAGCCATGATGGGGACACTGCCAGAAATATCCCATGTACCGCTCCCATGCATCACGAAGTGACTCGTCTGGCTCTTGGCGGAAGTGAGTGATCTCCCGCTGTATCTCGGTAGTCTTCGATGTCAGATAGTACCTGTACACGAATTTGTCAGCCAGATCGTCCCAATAGGTGATGGACAATGGGGGCTGGGTCTCCAACCACCTCTTAGCATTCCCCGCCAGAGAATGGGGGAAGAGATGAAGGCGGATTGCATCATCCGGGACACCATTCAGCTTGAACCCGTTCGTCAGCTGCAGAAAACAGGAAAGATGCACCCTGGCCTCCTCATCCTTAAAGCCATGGAACTGGATAGAGGATGTAACGAGCTGAATCCAGCATGGCTTGATCTCAAAGTTATTTGCTGGAATAGGCGGGTAGAGGATGACCGGGCGGATGTCAGCAATCCGAGGAGTGTAGTAGTACTCCAAGGTGGGACCCGGCTGCGGTGGATGATGAACCCCATGATCCTGGGGTATGGGGTTATTCCCCAGGACCTGATTCACCGGGGGAACCTGCTGCAGATTCCCCTGGTGTTGATTGTAGTCTCCGTCCATCCCGTGCTCTTCTTTAGAATCGCTACTCAGGTGGCGGTCTATGCGCTCTTCCGTAGCCAGTCTAGCTCGCTGTTGTCTCCTGAGCTGGCGACAGGTGCGATCAATCTCTGGATTCAACGGCAGTAAACCTCCTGACTGGCTACGGGTCATGCACTACCTGCACACACTCAAGCAAGCAAACCCGTGAAGGCACAAGTGGGACAAAGCAAACAAAGCAAAAAGAAAAGCTAAAAATTAACAGAAATCACTTTTCTTCAACAACCTAGCCGTTCCCCGGCAAATGGAACCACTTCCTAAAGCGTAGTATAGCGGGTTTGGGTTTAAATGTCAACCCGGGTCCTAGATTTGATGACTACTCAGTGAATTCTTGTTATCTGGCAATGAAACTTTAATGCAAGTCTAAACTAATAAACAAACAAAGCAAGTAAACTGTTGTATTCAGGTTAAGAGAGGTCACCCGAATATGGTTCCCCCTAGACTGCAGTTAAGCCGGATTGCAATTACCAAGTTCAGTTTCTATGATAGTTATACTGCGGAAGGTTCTTAAACAGCCTGAAGTCTCGACTAAAGGTCTTCAGACCCTCTCAATCTGAGTCTCTAGCGGGCGACTAACCTCCACCGGAGTAAATAGATTGAGGCCTTAACAAACAAAACCTCCACTACCGAAGTAAATTCGGTACAGAATAGTGAGTTGGCTCCTCGACTAAAGTCACCAACTCCCTACCTTCAATCAAGGATGCTCTATCAACCTAGGCAGATATTCTCATTCTAGGTCAAAGCAGAAACAACAGGAATTTGATCAGAATTCAAGTCATTCAATCATTCAAACCTCAATCGAATATAATCAAATCATAGAATCAGTACTTGGGTTCATACAATCACAGCCTAACATACAAATCTAGGGTTCTCCATACCCAGATGAATGGGAGAACTACTCCATGGAGAAAGAAGCAAAAGCAGAATCAGACGCGGAATTCATACTGTGAAGGATGGATTCCTGCTTCTGGACGTTGATCGGCACTTCTCCAAGCTCAAGCCAAGCTCCAATGGTGATGAAGATCAAGCTAGGGCACTTGGAGACTCTTGTTCGTCGCTTTCTCTCTCTAGGAATCGCCCTGCCTCTCTAAAACTCGAATCCCCTTCTGTTTTGGCTGAAATCTGCTTAAAAGGGCATCAGTGGCCAAAGCACGGTCGAGGGCACGGCCGTGTAATGCCTCAGCCCGCCCGTGCTTTGGCTAGGGTTAATTACACGGCCAGTGCATTGGGAGAAACATGGGCGTGTTTGATGATGGACACGGCCGTGCTTTGGTGGCCACGACCGTGCTTTGTCTAAGCCCTGCCCGTGTTTTTAGCCAATGTTTGCCAAACTCGAATTTGCTCTCGGCAGTAAAAGCACGGCCACAGAACACGGCCGTGTTCTGTTTTAGGTGTGCCCGTGTTTTGGCCCCAGCTCGACGAAATGACTTCCGAATGCCCCGAAACTCGTGCTTAGCCTTTCCATTGACGCCTGGGACCTGAAATATGACAAAATAGCACAACCCGACGTAAAATAGGCCAAAAATACACGACTATGCCCCTCAAACGGATAAGAACAAGGGGCCCAAATATGTGCAAATACATCGTTATCAATTATCCTGGGCCAAAATCGCATCTTGGCCATGCGGTTTCAGGTCTTACCTACATAAACCGCATGGCGGAGGTTTTGGTCTGACCTATCAAAACCGCACCTTGGAGATGCGGTTTGCTTCTCTAAAACAAAACCGCATCCCCAAGGTGCGGTTTTTCCACACAAACCGCACCCCCCCTCCCCCCGGTGTGGTTTGTGTGTCAATTATTTTTCGACACCCAACATATAGCCATGCAGAATAACAGACGTGGGGCTACATGGCAGACGAAAACCGCATCTCTAAGGTGCGGTTTTCATCAGTGATTTTGCCTATAAAAGACTGCACGGAAAACCTCTTCTCTTCACACCTCTCCTTCTCCCTTTTCAATTTTCTGTTCTAGCTCTATATTTCTTTAGTGTTTTTGCGATTAACATTAACTCGTAAGTTTATTTTGTATTACTTTTTATTGTTATTTGTGATTTGTGATTTTTATGATATTAACTGAACTACGATTTTTTTGCAGATGGCATTCCAAAAGTTCACGCTTGACTTACGGTGGAATGGTTACACGGAAGAGACCGGAAAGGGGTTCACCTACGTCAGTGGCAATTTTCAGAAAATAAAGGTCGCTACCAGACTGCTGCTTGAAGACCTCCATCAAATGTGCACTAACGTTACTTGCATGGTGTTACACCCCGACCTTTGGGTTCAGGTTCGACCATAATACGTGAACGGTTGGATTAACGGTTACGTACTAAGGGTTGCAACCGCGGATTAGGAATAATAATAATAATAACTTTTATTATTATTATTTAAAAAGAGAAGAAGAAAACTGGCCGACAGGGTGCTCGGCCCTCAATTATTTCCAGAAACCCTCGCTCATCCCTTTCTTCTTCCCGTCACAAACCGCCGCCCAAACCCTCTCACTTGCGCATGTCTCACCGCCGCCCAAATTAGCTTTTGCAGCAGCTCTAAGCCATGTGGAAAATGGGGTGCGCTTTGATTTATTGGACCAGGAGAGAAACGCCAGCAGTAATGTCCTTGTGCCTACCATAGCCATCATTGGGATCAGACAGGAGAAAGCGGAGTTTGATCATCCTCATGCTCTCGCATACAGGTTAAATCAAAGGCTTACCCCTTACAATTCAATCACTACACGTGCATGGGTTATTGCATTGGATGGAAGTCCATTAACATTTCTGGGAATGGTATACATGGATGGATGGATTAGGTGATGTGGGTTATGACAAAAGAAGATGGAAAACGAGAAGTGATGGAGGAGGAAGTAAAATCGGATCAGTCAACTTGAACAACCAATTAGGTGAGTGTAAAGGGGGTAAATTCTATGCCTTACATATTCTTTTCAGTATTATGATTTTAAGTATTTTAGCAAATTGATTATCGTTGCTTGGTTACGTTTATGATTGATTATTTGTGCTTTGCTTGAGCTATAATTTGAGGTGATTTTGTGCTATTTGAGGTGATATGAGGTGATTTTGTGCTATTTAACTTATAGCGCTATGTTTGAGTTATTGTTAAAGCTTAAGAACAAGTTCTTTGTAAGAAGTAACTCACCTTCAACAAGGTGAAGTCGTTTTAAGTGTTTATAGTCGCTAGCGCCAGCCCATTGCCATTGAAGATTTTCAGACAGAGCAGCAGTTATGCTCTTGAGACTTTTAAGATGAGCAGCAGTTATGCTCTTGAGAATCGTGGTGAAGAGCCACCACGATAAGTTTAAGATGTTAGGGGGATGAATCGTTACGACTTCCCTAACTAAGTTTAAGTTTAAGGAAAGCCTGGATGGCTTCTCATACATATGAGTTGGCAACCGGACTAGCTAGTGAGGGATCCCAGTGTCGGTCAAGTATTTAAGTCAAGCTTTGAGATTTAAGAGTGGAGTAACAGTAACTCCCATACAGTTGTAAGAGTTAAGTTTTTTTTATAATGGAAGTACAAAACAACTTCCACTCAGTTAAGTAAAGTGATCAAGTATTAATAAGATGTTAAACGTAAGGGCGTAGACTGACCCCATCCCACTCACCAGTTTAAAGAGCTAGAGGAAGAGCTAGAGGAGCATTTAGTGAGCAGCGAATTCGAGGGCAGGCAGCTAGAGGAGGGCAGTATAAGCGTCACAGAGGATGCTTAGCCAAGGTTTCAGTAGCAACATTAGAGATTATTAGTTATCTACATTTATGATTATGAGTATAGACTGGAGATCATATTGAGATTTTAAAGTTTTAGTTTAATTTGCCCACGTGTTAGGGCTTTGCTTTGAATTACAAGTGTGTGTTTTCAGTATTTTATTTATTAAAATTTTTCCCAGTTGCAATTTAAGATTTGAGTATTTTATTTATCAAGGGCATTTTAGTAAAAGTAGTACCCGGGCGGGTTAGGGTGTTACATTTTGGTATCAGAGCCGGTCTTCCTCTGTTCCTTGGTCTCCAAGGAATACGGGAATATCGGTCTCAGTTTTAAAGGATTTTGTTTTAAAGGAAAGGAAAATGAGTCAAGGATTTTCTTTTAAAAGTTTATAGAATCTCCAGTCTACTATAATCATAATAAGGTGAATAACTATTACAGCACGACACTACGAGAAGGTAGCACGAGGGTGCGATTGGTTTAAGAATAAGCTAGGACGCGAGTTAAGTTAACACATCGTGGGACGTCAAATAAGAGATTGATGGGTATGGCGATCATCAGTATGAAAGGAAAGAAGCAAGAAATGTGGCCAACTCTATTAGAATCTCAAGATACGAGGAAAAGGAAGGAGGAACGTTGCAAAGGTCTGTGGAGGTAGAATCAAATGTGCGAGGATAATAACCAGATGCCAGTAGCTATGATAATAGGATGATGTTAGGGTCTTTGGTCCTAAGCAGTGGAAAGTGGGCAACGGATCAAGAAACGAAGAGGTACCCTCGAGAAGTCCCTCGGCTAGTTTTTGTGGTCGATGGCTCAACGCCATTACAACACAGTGACAAGGAGCAGAGGAATGTTTAGACTTTAAGAAATGCTAAGGTAGTATAAAGGAAGCAAAGGAGGAAATAAGTAGGCTACATCGGGTCTGAAAGGACGCCAAAAGTCAAAAGTTTAAGAAGGAGAGGAGGCATGGTCGTTTTCATATGACGATGAAGGAACCCGATAAACCACGTAACTGGAGAAGAGGGTACATAACCCTGGGGAGTTAGGCCGATGGCAAGCCTTTAGAAGGAACAAGACAAGCAACGAGATAAATGATGTAGAGGGAAAGTTATGGTCTCAGTACGACCACTGTTGGACGAGATGTGGAGGAAAGTGCCACCAAAGTCTAAAGCATGCCTGGTAGAAGATAGTGGAGAGTCAATACATAAGAAAAGACATGAATTTTGAGAGAGAATAACAGTTAGCTAGTAGATGGCAGTACGAATAGAGAACCACTTCTCAGAAGTGCGTGAGTTGGATACCAAGATAACACTAAGTTAGAAGGAGGATAGTAGAGACCCTACAAACTACCCAGATCACGAAAGGTCAGGATGTTGTTGGGACCATTGAAAGGGGAATGCAAGAGTTCGTGATGATCTTTTGTGTGGTTGTCCTATCCTAAAAGGAGGGAGCACCTAGCCATCTAGGGTGCATGAGAGGTGACAGAAGGAGGAACCTCTATCAACACCTAGCCTGAGGAGACAACTAGTAAAGGATGAAACAGGCACGCTTACTTAAGCCACTACGAATCCTAACTAAGAGACTAAGTTTATGTACAAGATCGATCAACAAAAGAGACATGGAATGAGTTATGTTAAAGGTTACCAAGGGCAAGCCACCATTGGAAGTTGTAAACTAAAACAACAACGAGAAGATACTCAACCGAGGTTGGTGACCAAATATAGTACAAGCAACAACAGAAGAGTTGTAGTTTGGTGGTGGTAAAAGTAAAGAAGCAAGAAGAACACCATGGGAAGTTATAGAAAAAAAGTGGTGGGCATCAACCTGGCGATGCATGCGTCAAGGAAGATAGTTAAGGCGGGCGGAAGCAGGAGTACAACAGACAACGAGAAAGCACTAAGTTGACCACCAATGGAGAACGAGTGATCCATAGGAAGTCCATCAAGAAAATTCCGAGAAATTTTAAGGTGGAATCAAGGTCTTCAAGAATAATGGGAGGGAAAACCTTGTAGGCCAAAGTACATAAGCGAGAAGAGGATATAAGAACCTAGAGGACTACATCGAGAACAAGGGACATCTAGAACTAGAAAGGAACATCAAGAAAAAGAGTCACGAGTAACGAAGTAAGAGGGATATAAGTTTAGGGAACCTGCTAGAATACCCCAAAGTGAAATCAAGAATTGCCTATGCTGGTGAAAGGTGTCAATCTCTCGGGTAAGACTATATTGGATGGGGAAACCGTACGAGGAATTTCATCTAGGATTTAAGAGTAGCATAATGGATAGTGCGAGAGTTTCAGATTCAGGCGGCGATAAGCAAGTGCTAAGTTAGGCGCCAGGAGTGAACGAGTAAGCCAAAGGGAAGGTCATGACTCTTTAAGGGATTTATAATGTTGTTAGCAAGCTAGAGAAAGATGCAAACGATGCCTTTAATGCATTCAGGAAGCAAAAGCAGTAGTGTGAGGTTTCAGGGTGAAGCAAGAAGTAACGAGGATATGACCATTCAAAGGATGGCTAAAGGGAGAGGCGAAGCATCTTGGAAGAAAGTAAGAGATTTAGAGTTAGAAGGTTCAAGGACCTACGTGACCTACGTAGTCAACCACAGTCGAGGTTACGTTATAAGAGTTTTTTGAACTAACCAGAAGAAGGTTAAGCCGCCATCAGTAACTTTAGGATTAAAAAGGAGTATTACGGATATCAATAAGGGTGTGTAGGGATTGACCCATGCTAAAGGAACCATATATGGTGAATGAGGCATCAAGTTGTGCATCAAGGGGAGCTACCAAGCAAGGTAATAATGAGGTCTACATAGGGGGGAAAAGCAATACCCTTGGAGTGACCTATGAGTAAGCCATTAACCAAGTCACGCATTCGCTACGGACATCGAT